CCTCAGCCAGGGCAGCTCGAACACCAGCACCCCCGAAGAGGGTATTTAGAGTCATGGCGTCGCTGAAGACTGTTCGCGCATCCTGCGACAATAATCGATTGAAGCCAACAACCTCATAAAAAGGTGATGCCCCAAGGCTCAATGCACCCCCCAAGACGGCCCAAAAGGGCTCCAGGACGGCCCAAGAGGGCTGCAAGATGACCCCCAACAGGGCCCGAGGAGACCCAACACATACATTTCCCATTGATTCTTGAAGGTAATTCAGGTTGTGGTCTTTTGAGGCCTCCGACGCTCCAAGACGGCCCAAGAGGTGCCAACAGTCGCCCCTAAGACGGCCCGAGAGGCCCCCAGAGGACCCCAAGACGGCCCAAGAAAGCTTCAAGACGGCCCAGGAGAGCCCCAAGAGCTCACCAAGAGAGCTCCCAGGAGAGCCCCAAGAGGCTCCCAAGAGAGCCCCAGGACGACCCAGAACGGTTCAGGACGGCCCCAGGGTGCCTCACGAGGACCTCCACGCGGGCGTGCCTGAACAGGCCGACAGCATCGATTTTCCATTTGTGTTTAGGGGTCTGCAGGGCTCTCGCCCTTTCGGGCTTCCGACGGCCCGAGCCGGCCGAGAGAGGTTTTAAACATCGCCCCAAAGACTGCCCAAGAGGCCCCAAAGAGACCCCGAAGGCGGCCCAAGAGCAAGAGGGCCTTCATAGCCATGTGGGCTCAAGTCACTGTGGTTGGAGCAGGCCCGGGCCCGGCCGAGGCCGCTCGCCACCGCGGATTCGGTCGCGCCGCCGCGTCGCGGCGCCCCATGGTCAGGAGGGGAAAACACACACAGACACAATTGATCGCCGATCCCCCACAAAAAATAGGGGGACCAATGGGAAAATGTGGGCGGGAAGACGACAGCCCAGAAACCATAGGGAAATAGGGGAAACCATCTGGCACTGCCGTTTTTATGCATGCTCCGCGTGCGGATCATGTCTTAAACATGCAGGGTCTTAGTATGAAACGGATCGATGAGCTCATGCATAAACTTCATGCATATATCCACCATGCATTAATACCATATGTTTTTGATGTATAACAAATCCTCTGCATTGAAAACTGACCTGTGTGTGTGTTTGTGTTTGTGTGTCCTCGGGCCCCTTGGCTATGGAGTGCACTCCGAGCGCCCCCGCCGAGGCGAGGCGCACGCTCGAGCGGGAGGCCCCGCAGGCCAGGCACGCGCGGCCTCCGGCGGGCGCCCCGGAGGCGCGCGGGGGCCCCCCGAGCGGCCGCGCCCTCTGGCTGCGCAAAGGGCGCCGGCGACGCGCTCGGCGCGAGCCTCGGGAAGGTGCCGACGGGCGCAGCGTCGCCGCGAGCGCACGGTCTGTTCGTGTCCCGCCCGCCCGCCCCCCCCTCCCACCGCGATTTTTTCTCTTAAACTATTATACATATATACATTTTTCTTAGAACACTATTTTCATTTAGTATATCTATATATATATGTATATATCACAAATACATGAACAATCGTGCCACTCCCGTGTTTTTCATCGCGTGGCCCTATTATTGCTGCGTCGAGGAGGGCCGCGTCCTCGACGGGCGGAACGAGGAGAGCCCCGACGCCGCCGTGCGGCCTGGGCTGGTCATCGAGCAGGTCCCTGCTGGAGGAGTTGCCCGGCCAGGGGCCCTTGGAGTGAGGGTCTCCGCGGCGCCCCCAATGTCGGCGGGCCCCAGCTGGTTCGAGGACGTCGCGGGCATGGGGAGGAAGATCGAGCTGTTCAACGGCGAGAGTCCACTCATGGCCCGGCTGTCGTCGGAGGCCTCGCAGAATGAGAAGGTGCTCACCAGCCTCGAACTTATCCCTATCCCCAAGATTGACACGCCAAAAAGCGATGACAATCTTAGGGGCGCGCCCTGAAAAACTAAGGGAGCCCCTAAGATTGGCATCGCGATGAGGCGATGCCCAGCTTAGGGATAGGGAAATGTTCCACTCTTGGGCACCCCCCTCTTGGACCCCCCCTCTTGGACACCCACCTCTTGCACACCCCTCCCCTCTTGGACACCCCTCTCTTGGACCCCCCCCTCTTGGACACCCCCCTATTGGACACCCCCCTCTTGGCCGCTTGCGAAATGAGAAAGTGCTCGCGCCTTCTCCCCGCGTGGCCGCTTGCGCGGCTGGGCTCGGCCGGTGCGCGACCTGCCTCGATGACGTCGGCCGCGACGGGGTGCTCGCAGAGTTTCCCTGCAAGCACGGGCCTGTCCCTCCACAGGGGGAATATATTCAAACATAGTCAAAGACTCGTATGGGGATTTTCTTTGGTATCTTTTGACCAATTTGGAGTATTCTTTGCGTATTTTTTGATTTTCGTGGGGACACGCCCGACTTGAAACTTCCCGCCGACGACGAGATCACCCTCCTGGGCCCCTCCAGCGCGGTCCTCGGGGTCGGCGGGTGCAGTGCTTAGCTGCGTGCGAACCGTGATCTCGAACGCCAAGCCGATGAGCTTCCCCTTCGCGACGGTCTATCTGATCGACCTGCTCATGACCCTCTCTATGGAGGGGGTGCGCCCAAAAAAACACAAGGGAGGGAAGTCTGGTGCTGGCGCGTTCAAGGCTAATTAAGGCGGCGGCCAACATCCACTTACACATGATACAGAAGATGCAGAGCGAGCTGGAGTCCCTTGTGGGGATCATCAAGGGCAGCGCTCGCCGAGCAGGTACCACTCCACGTACTGCGGGCACCGCCAGGCTGCCTGAGCTTGACGTGCCCAAAGGGGGGGCGCTGCTGTTTAAGTTGGGGGAGATGCTTGCCAATGCAGATGCCGCACAATTTGTTCATGATGATGCAGAGGTGATCGTCGCAGTCCGCAAGATCATCGATTCTGAGGTGCACGCCTCGAAGAACCCTGGTGCTGGGCGAGAAGCCATTAGTGCATTGAATACCACCTCTACGTCTGCATCACTACCTACCCAGAAGACGGTGCATCGCCTGGGGAGTGTTGCGTGGAACGGTGCTGCAGTGTACAAAGCCGACTCGATCCGAGAGAAGCAGTTGGAGGGGCCAACAATGATCTCGTGTCAGAGCGAAGATGAATTTGCGAAAGCTGCTCAGTGGAAACTTGCTACAGGAACAAAGTGTGACATCACGTATGTGTTTTTCAAGTCAGGGCTGCAGCAGTCTGGGCCGCAGCAGTGGCCTGAACAACCGACTGCAGTTTTGGGCGATGTAATGGCAAATCTGATGATAGTCAGCCTGCTAAGTTGACCATCTTCACGGCGAGGCTCACTTTTGCGGAGGCGTATTGCGACAAAGAAGTGTACGGGCGTGCCCGGCAGGACCCCGTGTCTCTGCCCGCCTTGGCCTTTGACTCCGCCGCGAGGAAAGGCGTCGTCAAGGTCAAGGTCGCGCTGGATTACAAGACGGAAGTCACCTGTGTGCTGGTCTGCCGAGAGGATGCGCGAGCGTCCCTCTTTGCCGTCGACCTCCCAGCAGGTGCTGTTTTATCGGAACAGAAGTCTGAGAAATCGCCGGGATTGTTCAAGCGTGGTGATGAGGAGGAGGATGCCAAGTACTTCTCTCGAGTCAAAGCTGCTACTGGTCAAAGTTCAGGACGTCTGATCTATCGGCCGAGCGCCAGCGACCCCTCGGGTGCCATCGCCCAGGGGCCTGTCACTGTCGAGACCGCCCTCCCGCCCAAGTGGGCGATCACCAATGGATTGGAGACGTGGTCTGCGGGGGGGGAATTTGCAAAGTGGCGCGTCCAGCGCGGCCTTGCCACGGCGCAAATGGCGACGCGCCTCGGAGTCCGACGCTGGCATTTTCGAGCTTCACTCCCCGATGTGTCGACTCAGGCGGCATTTCAATTCTCCAGTGGAGTGGCTGTGGCCATGGGCGTTGGTGGTGGTGGTAGAGGTAAAGCCCAGGGTGAGGATGCGACAGCCGCGCCGCTGTCCGCCTGGGGTGCGCCATTGCCAAGGCATCGCCCACCTGAAGCTACGCCGGCCGTCTCGCAATTGCCCGAGCGCCCTGCGGCTGCTAGCGCGGCCCCTGCTGCTGGCGATGCTGCTGCCAAGGGCAAAGCCGAAGGAAAGCGCCCGAATGAAGGTGGAGCGGCCCCCGCCCCCAAGAAAGCAAAAGGACATGCGGGGCCCCCCTGGAAGGAGCGGGCCTCGGAGAGTGGCGACGCTGGAGGAGGCGACTGCTTCTTCATTGCGGCGGGGGGCGCGCTTCAGTCCTTGAAGCCGAATGCGCGGCCGGCGTCGCCCATGGACATGGCAGTCGGCGGCCGCATCCAAGCCTCCCTCCGCCTTCTGGTCTCCGACGAGCTGACCGAGAGACATCAGAAGTGCGGCCTGGAGCGAGACGACCCCTTCATCAATCAGATCGCGGCGTCATCGATGTGCGCTGCCGCGCTGGCAGTTTGCGCCGCCGCGGCCTGCGCGCAGTGCGAGGTCTTCATTTGGACCAAGACCGACTCCAAGTGGGCACTCTACGGACCACCGCCCGGCGGACGCAAGCGGAGGGGGGCTTTCTGGCTGACGCTTGCTCGCCGACATTACCAACGCCTTGTATTCGAAACTGCGCTGCCAGCTGATGTTGAAGCGCAGTGGAAGGAAGGCGTGCCCCCGCACCCCGTGGGCTTCACTGGCGGCGTCAAGAGTGTGGCCAGCTCCTCCAACGCCGAGATGAGCAAGACAGCAGTTGCACAGGCCAGGTCGCTCTTTGGCTTGAGTTCCGTGCAGTCCAGCCGCGCTGCAGCTCGTGACCTCCTCGGAGTCTCCCGAGCGACGTCCAGCAATGCACGAGGCGCCATTGGAGTCGCCGACGCTGACGAACCTCTTCTGGCTCAGCCTGGCGATCTGGCCTCACTACGCCAGAACGTCGTCGAGAGGGTCGTCGGCGCTGGCGCCAATGTCAAGGCTATGACCCCCCCCGCAGTGCAAGAGCCAGTTCGCCAAGAACCTAGCCGCTACAGTTGCTATTCAGAGGCAGACCACGGTTCGGAAACGCAAACGAGAAGAGT